ACTAAAAATAGTGATTTTAATTTATTCCTGCTGCCTACAATTACCCACAACCATGTATTTTTAAGTATTTCCAGCCTATAAAAATTACTAATTTTTGCCACTTGTGTTTATCTGCATTTAGACTTTGATTTGGATAAATTAAGCTCTCAAGTGTTCCTTGCTTTATGAAACTCTGCATGTTGTACACTTCAACACAAATAAATGACTTCTACCATTAGAGGTTTAAATAATGTAATGTATTTCATGCTCAGCCTGAAGCTGGATTCCAATGAAGTTGCTAATGCACGTAATGATTAAGTGTAACTCAAATACTAACTGTGTTGTTGAAAACATGACAGGCAATAATTTGGTCTATTATATTCTGCCATTTAATTGCCTAGTACAGACATTCTCTGACACGTTATGAAGCAATGATTTACAATTATTCAAGCTGCAAAGGTCAGAAAGTGACATTATAATCATCTACACAGAGATCCCTTCTAATGCACAAAAACTAGGTAATACCACACAAAAATAGTTTTACTAGAGTAGCAACTTTCTATTTAAGATTTCCCAAACGGCACAAGTATAAATAATTAATTTATATTACAGTACATTAAGGCATCCTTGAAAATATAATGTTTTTCCTGCTCCTACCAATAAATTTATGAATAAGTCTTTTTTGCTTGCTAAAAGCAATCTTAAGAGCAGCCTTTCACTAAAAGTAGCTTGACATTAACAGTAATCAGCTAAAAAAAATCTGAAAATCTAAAAGATTTTTTAGAACACAACATGCAGGAGTACAGCCAATTTTTTTGATGCAGCTGGTCAAAGCACATTCTTATCTATAAAGTACAAAGATCTATTAGCCACTATACTCAATATAGGCGAGTATTTGTCTTCAGACATTCTCAAAGCAACCAGTGTCATTAAAATACTGAACTTTATACAGATTAAGATCTCTGAACTATTCTTAGCATTAACAACAGCAGCAAAAGTGAAGTTATTTCCATGCTTGGGACACTATAACTCACCTCAAAGCTTGTTTATATAAGGCTTTAAAAAATAACCAAATTTAGCAAAACACTTATTTAGCAGAACATCTTATAACATCTCCAGAATTAATTGGGAAAAGGAGTTTCAAAGCAAATCGAGAACTGAGGAGCAGAAAGTAAAAAAGATTAATACCTCCATCCACCAACAGACCAAAACAAAGCAAAAAAACCCCCCCAAAACCCACCCCACAAGAAAGAACTACTTCAGCAAAATACAGAAAAAAACCCAACCTTTTCCACCCCATTCCAAATTCCTTTGTGTATACAAATACTTACTTTTGTTCCTTAAAGCACTTTACTATATATGGAATACTATAGATGGAATAAACATAATAAAGACATAACTACAAAGGTCCTTTCAATTTTTAGGAAGGTAATAAAAAATGTTTATGTGCATGTTTTAAATACTGAAAATTTTCCTAAAAATCCAAACCTACCTTATACCCATCTTCCTCAGTAGATTTTTAAGAAGTCATAAAGGAGAGAAAAAAAAGAAAGAAGCAGCCACTCTTACTTGAAACATGTAACTACATCCCCAAAAATTCTGTTTCTGAAAGCAAAGGCAAGAAAAAGGCAAAGGAATAGTAGATGCATTTTTAAATCAAACATTGCCTATAAATTCTGTTCAAAATCTCAAGTGCAAAATGATGCATTTTTCATGTTCTACCTGAGGCATAAAATTTGAAAAGTGCATAATAAGCTGTTTCATTGCATTTCACCAGGCAAATGAAACAAAAATTTTAAATGCTGGGCAACCAAGATTTGCTCATCTAACCCAGGGTATCAGCCAATTTCAGAGCCAGATTTTTAAAAATCAAATTCAAATATGCAGCAGTTTGCTACCCGCAGAAAATAGGTACTACCTCTGAAATAATGGGATATATTTTACAGCCATGGGTATGGAAAAGAAAACAATTAACACACATCTGCGATAAGGAAATGAGTAGCAGACGTTTTATTCCAAATGTTAAAACATTTGCGGTGTCCAATTTTTGTGTCATGTAGTTTCTGCTGTGCAGCTGAAGAAAAACAAACCCTGAACTTCAATTAAAAAAAAATAAACACAGCAAAATTACTGCCTTTTTCAACAACGAAGTGAATTACATATTGTGTACTTTGTATCATGTAAATATGAGGATCATTTGAAAAATTGAGACGCAGCAAACCCTTCCTAAAACAACACTACAGATACAGCTTTTTGCTTTTTTTTTAAAAAAACAAAAATTTCCAGAGAATTTTTGTCTTTTAAAAAAAAAAAAAGTGGTATTTTCAGACCACACTACACCATGATGTTGCACTGACATTTCACCTTTAAAATGTGCCCAAGCAGATTCAAAAGCTTTTGAAACACAATTTATCCTCACAACTAGCAGAGGGTTTATTACTATGAATCTAAAAGTCAGAGGATAGAATATTAACTACTGCAGAAAAGAAAACATAGTGCAGGACCTTCTGTTTGTGACAAAATTACAGAGTTAATGTTCCTGAAAGATCACTTCACCTTTTAAAGCATGATTTTTAAAAAGGTAAAATTTATAGCAATTAAAGCTAATGAAGAAATGCAGCATGAGCTGCTTATGTTCAGGAACTAATAGGTCCACTGAGCATTTCTAAGATTATTTAGCCATCAATGATAATGAATTGACATTGTCAGTGGTGTTAATGTACCAATGCTCTACAGTGCCACTAATCCGATAGCCAATCCTAGCAATTTTTTTTTTTTTATGTTGCTACTTTATTTTTTTAATCTACACACCACCCAATCCTTTCAATTAAAATAGCAGAAATACAGCATAGGCCATTACACTTTTTTCTCTTCTTCCACATTTAAGGATGGCATATTCATTATTTGGACTACAGCTCAAACGGCTCTGGTCATTCCTCCTTCAAATCCTGTTCAATTCTTCAGGATTGTTAGCTACAGTACAAAAATATCTTTTCCAATTAAATCAGTATTAATGTATAACTCTTAAAATACATTTTTGGTGCACATTAAGTGAAACATGATGATTATTTAAACACGTATATAAACCAGATTTTTGTGAGCACAGGGTATTGTGGTATATGTCTCTTCAGGTGATTGCTTTGTCATATCCAAATAGCACAGCTTCACATTGTTGATGAAAATTAGCTATACAATACTACACAGAAATGGAAAATGAGTACCTGCTTGGCTACCAGGTATGACATGTCAGCAACAAACAGTAAGCAATCAGCTTAGCAAAGTGACTAACATTCAAGTCCACAGTTTAAATCATTCATACGTGTTTTGCTCTCTCTTGCGTAACCATCATGAATTGCAACCAAGAGTTGTGTAATTTCTGAGACAGTTTCTAAGAACATGTCAATCCTGAAGTGAGGGAGTGAGTTTTTGAAAAAACGAGATGCCAAATCCTAATAATTTTAATTCTCTTTTTATATAAGGTAAGGTATTAGCTATTTTGAGATTTTTTTACTTTTCATCTCACGATAACATAATTAAATAATAATACGATTTTTCAGTTTAAATTAAAAGGGAATTGAATAAAGAACCATTGTAAAGTTTGTTGACAACTTCTAAAGAACAGAGCTTAGCCTTAGCTAAACGGTTTTGTGGATCTGTAGTTGTTAACTATCTTCCATGCCAAATTCTCACCAATTCATAAAGCAGAGATAGTAAATAAGACTTTTTCAAACAACATAAAATAGCCTACCACGCATAATGTTCATTTTAAACATGCTGCAAAATAAAGAGTAGCACATGTTATTCTACTACTGATATTCAGTGGACTTAAGAATTAGGCTCATACATTTTTATTTCTTGTTTCAAGAAGTCAGCAATTAATTTTCTTAAGTGAGTAAAAACACCCAAAGTATCTTATAATGCTGCATGCAAAATTATTTGAAAAACAGAGAGATGAATCAGTGAAAATCACTCAGCTGCATCTTCAGCTGAAGATTCACTTGTCCTTTAAAATGTGTAATTCACTTTGTCCTGCAGTAGATCAGTATACTAAGGCTAAAAAAAACCCTCCTGCTGAGTATTATCCCCAACATAACACCACACCATTCATGTGTGCACTGCATCATCTAATTGAACCTGTGCTGTTCTACACATTAGCCATAAGACTGCTATAGCAGGTTACGTAGGTTTGAGTAAAATGTTTTTATATGATGCATATATTAGTTAATTTCTCCAGCATAATAACATTAAAATATATTTTTAATCAGAACTAGGGTATTAAAATCCAACTTCGAATGTCCTATGATGTACCATATATGCCATGGCATTTTAAAACCTTTTAAACATTTCTGCTAAATTAATTAGTTTTGCATTAAGGAGTCTCAATGCCTCCTATTAAATGCAACACATTTGAAGGACAATTAAACATTATGAACGATCCTTCTGAGGAAATAACGATTAAGTAAAAAAGAAAAACAAGATTTTTTGGGTAACAAACAAGAACACAAGCATACATAAAAGACTTCAATTTATTTTTAAAGTGTTATGCCTGCAATATTTTAGATCCGTTTGTTTGAAAAATCAGTCTTCTGTTTTGTTTTCGTAAAGAATGAAAACCCTAATGGAGTCCAGAAATCTGTTAATGGTACTAAAATTATAACAGTATAGCAAAAGAAAAAACCCCACACAGTAAAGTCTATATTATATATTTTTTATGTCTTTAAATGGAATTTACAGTTCTCCCTGGCAATGTGAATGAACATCCTATAATTTAGTCAATTTACAGATTACAGGTTCAAATTGACCTTGTAGCCCATAAAATTGCTCATCTTCAGTGCAGGATTAGAAGTGGGAAAAGAATGTCATAACTGTATTTAAGGAATTTACCATAACAATGGAAAGGAGGATATGCATGCATAATTTTAGCCACTCTTGCTCACATCACAGTTTTCAATTCTGAAACAATGCATATCCTGCACTCTTCTCCTGGTTAACCATGGTGGAGACTCTTTCAATTTACTCACCCACAGACATGACACTTGTATTCCCTCATCCCAAGGTGCCTCTTGACATGGTTTCTGGCATCTCCGAGCTGAGCTGTTGCAAAGCGGCATATCTTGCACTTGAATGGCTTTGATCCTAAGTAAAATTTAGCATAAGATATGAGTTGAATTAGAATAATATATCACCCATGGTTAAAGAAATAAAAAATCCTGCGAAAAAATAACCTTTAAAAAAGCCTATCCCACATTTAACCTGTTTGAGATTTTTGCCTAACAAAAAAGATATCTCGTACATAAATTTATAACTCCTAGGAACACAGACAGTATATACTATACATTACTCATTAAGGTTTCCTTAAGTTCAAGATCACAGAAACTACTCTCTTAACTTTTAATAATAATTTACTCTTTTTTATTATTATTATAAAATGAGAAGACAATACAGTAGGTAGATAACCTTTCAACAAGACTGCAAAAGTTGTTCTGCACCTTTCCCCATTTCCAAATGCTGAAACTCAGGTAATGGTCTTAAAGTGGCTTGATATTGGTGTAAACTGCAAAAAAGTATTTGGTTTTTAAGCAAATATATTTAAAGTAAAGCAATTTTACAGGTCTTCCGACTTTGAATAGATTTCACATTAGCATTGGTATTTCAGATTTGTTCTGTCACACACAGAAAATGATTCATCACCTAGCTATTGTAATGGCATGCAATGTATGAATATACAGTGGATAAAATATTATGCCTTTATGACTGTTTTATGGTCAAGAATTTATGATTATTCTGCAAACCAGAAGTATTGACATTTTGGCTATTATTTATTTCAAGAACAAACTTTAATATTAAATGTCTACTGCAGACCAAAGAACTCTGAAATTATTTCACTAAGGAAGAAGTACCAGCCTATTTCTTGTATCACATCAGTTCAGCAAAAAGTCAAATTATTTGTCTATCTTAATTAACAGTGATCCTCTCTCGAGGATGGAAAAACTATATTTTTACTCAAATAGTTAAATTGGGCACATGTCAGCCCCCATGTTATTACGCAGCAACACCATTCTAAAGCATGCTGTAGCACTTTCCAATTTTCTGACCACTAAATCCTTAAATCAATAAATCAAAATCATAGAATTGCAGTTAAAAGTAAGTACAATATGGTCACAGAGTCTCCATATTATGTTTAGTATATGTTTTGTGAAGTACTTCTTCCAATACAGTTAAGCATAATATGAAATATGTGATCTTTAATAAATATACATAAAGAGCTCTGATAAGAAAAATGTTGCACTATATCATACTTGATCAATGAACCTTTTTGCTTTGCCCTTGAAAACAGAATATCCTCCAAGAATCCATTGGTGAAATTGAGGATCTTAGTAAAAATTTTTAGAGTCTTAAATTTCAATTTAATTCCCAAAAGCTGACGAAAAATGAAGCATTAATTTTAATCTTCTAACTGAAATAAAAAAGTCAACAGTACTAAGCACGGGCAGACAAGGTTGAATATTTCACAGTTCAATGACAATGAAGCCAGATCTCTTAATACTTCCATTTCTACTGTTGGAAGTAGATGTAAAATATATTTAGCACCTGAATGGTTATATCTAGTCAGCTTTATATGTTTAAATGTCAAAAGCAGGTTGAGACTGCAGCTAACAGCAATCACATTCTATCAATCACACTGAAAAACCCCAGTTTATTTAAATGATCCTGATAAAACTAAATTAATCATTAATTTGGTGACATTTCAAATCAACACTGCATTCTATAAAGAGACCCATGCAAATAAAAACCAGCCTATCTTTGCATTAAATAAGAGAGTATTAAAAGTTGATGTTTTAACTTATGATCTTAAAGACTAATTGCACAATTAATAACATCAAGGCCACAGTCGGAGAGGATTTTGAAAAATCTGTTGGTGTTTATACTGCTCTTTTTTGTCATAGAATTCAAATACCATGTGGATTCAATCCTATGTTCCCTTAGTTTCTCTCCTACTGATTAAATTGTAAATTCGTTCCTCATTCTGTGACTGCAGGTGTCCCGCAGGGCTTCCATACAAGACCTTTGCTGGCTTCCATTTACATGACTCCTTTGTGAAAAACTCGAGTTCAGACCAATCGTAGCTACAATGTGCTGACAATACAGAAATGTGTTATTCTGTTGACTGCTCTCATCCAAAAATCACTGAGGCCTTAGGTTTTTTTATTTATTTCTCAGATCCAGAGCTGAATATCTGTTAACATCTCCATTTAAACTCCATGAAAATTCAAGTGCTGGCAGGCTCCAGTCAGTACTTATCACCTGAAACAAAAGCAGTGCATCTCCCTTTTAGGTTGCTGGTGCCAAATTTGTTCCAGTATGTTCTTGGATGGAACAACCCAAAATTTTATACTTAAGATGAAGGCATTAGACTGAGAGTTAAACTAATGGGGCAAAAAATCTGTATTTACCATAAGGCTATCTGAAACAATGTTGAAGCAATTAACCATTTCTTAGCCATACTTATGTTATCACAAACTTTAATGGTTCTCATATGCTGTGTTGAATGTGATACTATTGGATTCACACTTGGCTTTTAGTTCACAGAAAAATGAGAAAAATACTTTCAACATAGCATCTTTCCAACCAAATGATTTTCAAAAAAAAAAAAAAAAAGCCACAGTATTACTTCACCCACAAGTTATGGCATGGAAACAAAGTGTACATTTTCTGATGGTAGCAGTAAACAATAAGGCTCTTAACAAGAAAATTAGGGGGGGGGGGAGGGGGAACTAAAGCAAAAAACCCCACCAAATTGAAAATAGACTACATTTAAGAGTTCAAGTCAGACAGACACAAACCATGCTACTGTTTTACAGGGAGGACTGGAGTTCATAGTCTATTTTACTAAAAACAAAAGAGACTCAAAACTATAAGAAAAACTCACTGCTTCAGCTTTAAGCCAGCCAAAGGCAACATCATCTGCACCGGCAGGCATAGCTGTAGCTCAGGCCCAATGCAAAGTGAGCAGAGCCGCATGAAATATCATCATACCATTTCCTCCTACGTTTAGGACATGGGGAGTAAGACACCACACTTACATTGAGAAAACCTTCCATTAACTGAGAAATCTGATGAGAAACGAAACGAAGATGATGTGGTTGCAGGTGATTTTTCCTCAGATGTTGATTGTTAATTAAGTTTATGGGACCTGCATCAATTGCAAACTAAAAAGTCTTCCACCTCTACTACTCCTTTTATTTTTCTTTACACTTCCTCATTTTCACTTGTCAACATGTGATGGACTTACTTGTTATCTCCTCTCTAGCAAAGCTTCCCTTTCATTTCTAATGTGAAAATCTCCTACATTATTTAACGTATTTTGAAACATTATTCTTCTATAAATGGAAATCATTACTTGTATCTTTCTACAACTTTTCCTTCCCCCCCACCCCAAACCATCACCAATTACTCAACGAAAAAAAAGGCAAGGAGTTGGATATGGTTACATATACATACATATATAAACATATATATGCACATCTGGATGCTGAAGAAAGATTTTTTTAAAAAGCACATAATCAGAACAATAAATGGGAAAATGTGCAGCTCTGCTCCTACTATGTACCTGGTGTTACCCTGGAACAGATGGGAAGCTAGAAATACTGTACTTTGCCTCACCAATGCTATAAGCCAGAGTATATACAGTTGGTGGAGTAGGCCAGTTCCCTCTGCCACCACTCCCAATAACCCAAAAATATTTGTTTCTTATTCAACTGCATCCATTGTGTAACAGATTGGAAGAAAAGGTTCTATAAGACACAAAGGAAATCACAAATATGAAAATATGAATTGGAAGAGAAAGCCTTCTTCCCATTAACTATTAATAAAAGTCTCCGCATTACTATTTATGTGAATAAGCAAAGCATAAGAAAAGCATTTCATTTAAAGGTGCCGTGAGAAAGAGGGCAGATAAAACTCTGTTTTTTAACCCTTCTATACCCCCTCCTCAAACACCATCAAAAAATGACTTGCAAAATGAAATGTATTCTTTTACTGCTTTGCATATTTAAGCACAATAAAAATATACTTCATGATCAGACCTACACACAAGATGTTAAAAAGTACACTAACTTTTACTAAATGTTACAATCAATGATGTAACTTATGTAAGTAGGGTTGCTTTGTCATATATCGATAGTTACCTCACTTTCACATCCACATTAACTTGATTTTAAATGCAATTAATACATATAGTCAAGGAAGACTAATGGACTACATTCTGCACTTAACCTGGTGGACATTTTCAAATGGCACAAGTGACCAGTGCAAACCTATTTTGCATTGTAAACGACTAAATAAATCTTAATGGATTAAGAATGATCAGCTATCAACACACAAGGGAAATTAAGTGCTGAAATGCCTACATTGATTATTTTAAATTATTAGCCTTACTCTGTTCTTGAATTTGTATGCTTTTAGTGAGCTTTAACACATTTACAAGACTTATTGACTATAATTACAAGAGAATTCAAGTAATGGACACATCAATTATAAGCAACATGTCTTGACCAGACAGTTGCATAAAGAATTCTAAAGAGAGCTCCATTAGCATCCTCCCCCTTAGTTTTATTCAGTTTTATCTGCCGTAAGAGGGCATATTAAGGGCTTATACAGCTGTTCTGACCATGTGAACACGAGCGTCCCTCTAAAGACTTAACACTGCATTCAAAGCTGGATATTAGCTGAAACAATACAGATAACTACGTTATTGACAGGATAGAAGTAATGCTGAAAGTATTACATATGTGAGTTACTGGTATACATGAATACTGACTGCAGTTATAGTAAAATACTTTGAAAGGTTTGAAATACAATGCCCGTGTTCCCCAAGATTAATTTTAAACTTTGTTGTCCAGTCACGCCCTTGCCTTTTCATAAAAAAAACTTACAAAACTATTTTAGGATTATGCCAGGAATTACCATTCTTTTATGCTTCTTTTTTCTTACCTTTTTGTTCTCTTCCTTGTAACCATGCACTAAGTTTCAAATACTGCATGAATTTAAACTATAGCTTCCATAATAAGCCATTATTTAAAAGTACAGTAAAATAAACCTTACAGTTTTAATGAAAATATGTTCATTGAAATGTGAATTTATTATTCAAATCCACTCATAAATTCAACCATGGAGACACCACTTGTCTAAGCAGAGCTCAGTGATTTAGAAAAGCTGTCTATTTAAAATAAAGAATGTATGGCAGGTTTATAGAAACATCGCAGTGAATTTTTACATAAATTTAGAACTGCAGCTTATGCATTTTTCTACAAAATGTTTTTAAATTTTCCACTTAAAATTAAACATAAAAATGAATTGAAAGTGTGATCAGCACAGAAACTAAATCAGATGCTACATCCCTGTGCATCACATCAGCCTTACACACTACCTTCCAAAAAGGCTGACCAATTCCAATTCCCATAACTTATTTCTACAAAAACCTCTTGATGCTTCTTATTGGTATTTATTTAGGAATGATGTAATACCAAATGTCTATCCTGAAGCATTAGGTAATGCTGAAAGTGTAACTGAATTGAAATGAAATAAACAATTTGGATGTTAAACAACTGTGAGGAAGAGGAAGTTAGAAAGAAAAGCTAATTGTTCTCTCACACCACCACTGCTTCATTATATAAATTTGAGAACCAATTAATAGTTACAATTTATATTAAAGGGAAGGAAATCTCTCTATATGAAACAAAAAGCAAAAGGGTGACTGCACTTAAAATGTTCTTACATTTTCTGCCCTTTGATTGTATTTTCATACCCCTCTAGGTAATTCTGAATTTCATCCAGGGCTCATCAGGCGATAGGAATGCCAGTTCATAAGAAATGTTAAAGAGATTAACAAGCAGAAAAAGACCAATGGTGTAATTCACTCTGTTTGAAAGAGACCACTTGCAAAGAGGGCGTTTCCATACCTGTATGGGTACGGATGTGAGCTAGGAAGGCCATGGAATTGCTACTTCTGCACATCTTCCCACAATACTTGCAGACATTGCCTTGGTTCTCTTCCCTCTCCCTGTTTATTTGCTCAGTGTCTTCCACAATGTACTTATTCACTTCCCGCAACAGCTCTTCGTGTTGCTCTTTGATGTGGAGAAACAAGCTCTGCTCCGAATCGAAGGGCTCCGTGCACTTCACACACTTAAAGGTAGCGCCTCCTTCGGGCAGCTCCTCCACGCTTGCCTGCTCGTTTCGCATGTGCCCGGCACTGGCCAAGTGCTGGTGAAGGTTGCTCTCTGTGTAAAATGATTTTCCACAGAGTAAACAATGAAAATGTTTTTCTTTTGAAGGATGTTTCATGGCTATGTGAACATTTAGTCCGCTCAAACCATCTGCTAGAAAACCACAGTCATCGCAGCGAATACGTGTCGATTCCCCGAGGGAAATTCCTTCTAACTTCTTCTTTTTCCCACCACTTGGTGAAGGGTCTGCTTTCACTCTGAGCTCACTAGCTTTCACTCCACCTGACACCTGTCCCCCCATCTTGATGGCTTTTTAACCTCACTATAGAAGAATCAAACTTGCCAAAATTTTGCATTGCCTTTCCTTTATCATCAGCACTGATAACTGTTCCTAAAGCCTCATTACTACTTTCTTGCATGCCCTCAGCTGTTGAGCCATCTGCCTCCCAAACATTGTTATTTATAGTTACTTCTGCTTCATGTTGTGCTTCCATAAGGGCTTCTTCCTCCTCCCCAGTAGGATCCTCTTTGAAACTTCTGTCACCCTCTAAACTCTGTATATTTTGTACCGTTTCTCCAATGTTTCCAGCAAAATTGGATTGCTCTACTGCACTAGTTGTTTCTGGAAGAGTTAGCACAAGTGGGTTATTTTTTTTCAGTGATTTTTTTTTGAGAGTGTCTGTGTTTCTACACTCTACTTCAGGGTTTTCTCTATTTGCTTCCAAGCTTTCCTCACCTTTTCCTGAATTCAAGTTTGTGCTGCTTGATCTATTTTGATTTTCTGCAGTGCAATCACCATCTGAGTTGAGCAGCTCCTGACCATGCCTACTTTTCTGCAACTCACAAGTACCTGTTTCTTTAACTGATACTTCCTTGTCAAGTTTAGTAATTTTATCTTTCTGAGGAGTTTGCTGGAATCCTTCACAAAAAAGGTTTTTTCCTCCATTTTTAGACTCCTCTTCAAGTTCACCTTCTACTGCATTTTGGGAACTGCTGCCTTTTAATTCATTTTCATCTAAGACACTACACTCAGTTAAGCTTTTACTCATATGATCACCTTCTGCCGTGTCACTGACACATTTTGTTTCACCTAAACCAGTTTTCGATTCTCCTGCACTGTGATGGTGCTCCTCTTCAGACAAAGCAGTGCCTTCTTTAGTGATATTTGCTGTGTTTGCTTCCTCCCCAGAAGAGGAATAAACGTAAGATTCTCTTCTAATTTTATGTTTCTCTGTTGCTGCATGCCTAATCATCTCTCTGTGAGTAACAGCATAGTAGTCACAAGCCATACAGTAGTATTCAAATTGTTTTGTATGTTTTCGCTTCACATGCAGCTCTAAAGAAGAAGAAGAATGAGCAGTGAAGCTGCAGTGTACACATTTGTTGTCATTTGCACTCATCGCTCTTCTCTGGAAGCATGGGTCATCATCTTGAGTAACCCTTGCTGGTTCCAGAAATATATGTTGGTTTATATTTAATGGATTGCTAGTATGCTCCAAATCTGGCAGCCTACTGGCATTTACAACTTTTAGCTCAGCAACTCCTTGCTCAACTTCCTGATTGTCTAAGACAGAATTTTCCAAATCTGATGACTGGCTATCGTCCTCAACATGTTCATATAAGGCAGTCATGGGGCTGTTAACCTTCTTGCTTGTGGATTCAAAATTACCTCCTTCAGGGCTAACGATGATCTCCGAGTTCTGTTTTCCACGTCCTTCTATTTCAACACGACTTTTGTGTTTTTTGGTTGCACAATGGCGTTCCATATCTCCTTTGGTTACAGTGTAATAATTGCAAACCTTACACAAATAGCTGTACTGATGACTGTGCTTTCGTCTGATGTGAACAGTCAAATTTGTAACACTGGAGGCCAAAAGACCACAATGGGTACATGTCCTAGAAATAGTGCCTTTGGGTTTCCCTCTTTTGGGTGCATTAGCTAAAACCAATTCATTTTCACCAATCCTTTGATCAAGTGGAACGAATTCCTTATTTCTTGATATGTTTTCCATAGAAGAGGATGAAACATGTATAATTTCTTTATCTAACTCTGTATTCCCACTCCCAGAAACGGAAGGATCCACCACTGTTTTAATACCACCAACACCAACACAAACCTTTTCAATACATTCCTCAAAACGTAATCCAATGTTGTTTTTCCTGGCATTTTCAAGGTGCTTGCTTCTTTTGATGTGCTTCTCCATTCCTTCCTTACTCAGTGAGTAGAGATTACATGCTTTGCAAAGGAAGTGATACCCTTGTGCATGTCGGAGTTTTATGTGCCTTGTAAGAACTGTAGAAGATCTTGTCTTATAAAAACACTTTTTACATTGAAATTGGGTTTTATTCAGAACAGAATGCTTTAGTTCATTTCTATGATTTATCAAGGAAGAGTCTGGAGTTCTTGCTTTCATTGATACTTCCATTTCCTTTGCACAATTTTGGCTATTGTTTGATACTGAGTCAGCATAAGTTACCACTTGCAAGGTCCGATCACTGTTACTCAATGGAGTAGCTTGCTGAAATAATGAACCATCATGTTTCTCATTTTTTTGATGATTTATCAGCTCTTCTTCCATTTCAAAAAAAAGAATGCAAGTTGGACAACAATGGGACATATTATGCGCTTCATTCATATGCGTTTGAAGGCTGATCACATTCAAGCTGGTAAATGAACAGAGTTGACAATTAAAGCTACAACCATCCATCTGGTGTTTACTGTCCTGACAGTGTTGCTTCATGTCTTCCCTGACTCCAGAGGAATAACTACACATCTGACAATGAAACTGGATCCTTTTTGTATGAAGCTTTGCAACATGAATTTCCAAACTTTTTCTGTTCTGAAAAACATTACCACAATCAATGCAAGTATGAAGAACACCAAGATCAGCAGTAAGTTTAACATCAGAGTCTTTAGTATCTGTAGTGCTGGAAGAAATGGTATTTGGCTTATCTTCAGTAAGATCCTGAATTTCTGAAGTAGTATTACAATTACTTTTAGCATCTGTTTCTAATTCTGTGTGTGACAGAGGGCCTGAATCACAAGGTTTAAGCTGTGTGCTGGAGATATGCTTCATGTGTAATCTCTGAGTTTCAGACTTGCCTCTCTTACTGTTACCCAACAAACTGTACCTTCTTTTAACCTGCCTTTTTAATCTAAAAGACCTGCTCTGTCCAAATGAAGACCTTAACAAGACAACACTTCTTTTATGTTCCGGTCTATCAAATCTCCTTGTCATGTTTAAACTGCTAACTAGCTTTTTGGTAGTTGGAGGGAGTTCTCTTTTCTGCAGGGTATTTTCTGAGGGTCCTGGTATTTCTAGTTTTTCAGTACGGACTTCATAATTTCCTTCTACACCAGAAGAAAGCAATGTTTCTTCTGTCATAGTATCTGTTTTTTCAGTGGGAACATTTGAAGATGGTATCATTTCAACTAGTTCAGTGCCACCATTTTGTTTAGACAAGCTTACTTTTGAACCTTTCAGTGCACTGCAAACACTTAATTCTTTTGCATCAGCAGTTCTTATCCTTAATTTACTGGTCCCAGGTTTTGCTCTGACATTCCTCTCTTTGGTTGCAGTAGATTGCTGTTTTTTGAAGGATTTTTTTGTCAATATCTGTACAAATCCTCCCCGTGCAGCAAGATTTTGGCGTCGAAGGTGCGTCTTGCCAAGGAAATGAGAATTTAGGAGATTTTCCTCAGCACTCTGAAAACCACAAAGATCACAACAAAATATCTTGGATTTCTCATGATCTTGCTTAACATGTGTATGTAATGTTGAACTACATTCAGCTGTGCAACTACAGTGAGGGCATGTTTGCTCTTTGGATTGTTTAGAGGGGCTTTCTCGTTTATGGTTTTCCATATCAGAGCAGGAAGGTAAACACTGATCACTCGTTTTGCCTTTAAGACCTTTGTCTATGTTTCCAACTGTATAGCCAACACTGATTTCTTCTGAAGAAGATAACTTATCAGGAACAGCAGCTGGCACCTCTTGTGAATGTTTATTTTCCTTGTGAATTTTCAATATGGCACCATCAGCACATTTGAAATCACAATGTAGGCACAGGAAATTTGAATTAAATATGTCATCACCAAGATAACTGGCGACTCCTTCCTTCTTTACAGCTCCAGCTATACTATCTGCTTCTCCAGCTACGACTTTGTGCAATTTCCTTTCACTGTCTCTCATGTCTTCTGAAGAACTCCGCTTTCTTTTTCTGGAGACATTTTCAGGTTTGTTTGCTTCAACCACATCCAGGTTTGGTGATCCTGACAGTGCCCTTTTGTTTGTGCCGTTCTCTTTTCTTTTCTTTTCAAGGTCCCTGAACACTTCATCTGATATAAGCCTTGTTTTCTGCTGAGATGAAGAGTCACATCCAGCATTTTCTCCTGATGTATTTCTCTGGGATTCTTCTGTCAACCCAGTTTGTAAACTCTCATCAACATCATCTCTCTTCTTATTTTCATCCCCATCCATTCTTAACATTGGTATTATCAATTGTGGATCATTTGGCTTAGTACCTGTAAAACAGAAGAGTTACTATTAGTCTTTTATGCACAACCAAAAGTTAAAAGACCCAAATCAAAAAAAAGCAATATAGCAAATTAAAATCATGGCAGGAAGACAGACACAATGAAAGATACGAGGCTACGTTTTCAGTATGGCGTCTAAACTTACGACATCTAAAAATCAAACCAACTTCTAGGCACTTGGTTACAGAGCTCTCACTGTGATGAGCACCGTGTGAGTGAGCACTAGCTTCAACAGTTTTTGTGTAATCAAGTAATTTACTACATGCTTAAACTTGGGCAGACAAGCCTAACCTTTGTTTCTGGAAGCATTTTTAGGACACAAAACACTAACAGCTTTCAGGGAACCCGCGATGGGATGTTCAACTTTTCCTGAACTACAAATCCAGGTTCCCAAATGGAAAAGCCCCAAGGAGGAAATGACCATGACTGTAACAACAAGCAAAACAAAGCCAACATAAATGTTAAACATTGAAAGTATGAAGCTTTCTTTCCTTCCTCCGCTTAGATTACCTGCTAAAGAGAAAGAGGGAAAACACAAATAGAGCCATGTTCTAAAAGAATATGCAGCAAGTATAGTTCCCCATCATTCCTAAAATATCCTCTAAAACTTCATTTCCCAATTGGGGGGGGCGGCAGAAAGAAAGAAGGAAGTCATGAAATAGCAGTGCAGAGAAGGGCAGCATCTTTGGACCCCAGCACAAACTCTAACCGTCCAAATCCAGTTACCAAAAGCTTTTGCTCAACTGCCCAGTGTGACCTTCCTGCTCCCAAAAACATGTCACCACTAGAAAACTGATGCTACCAACACAGTTTATAAGAGGGATGGGGGTGGGAAATCAAATCTTGACATTTATTACCTTTTCATTTTGATATGAAGCGATTGAGAATTGAAAATGCATTTCATTTTAACAGATGATTAAATACTAAATGTTTATCTATGTGCTTTACACTATGATTTAAACATCAATTTGCTGCAGATCCAAGTATCCAGTTTTTTGTTCAGTTACCCACTGAATGAGGCCATGACCACAATTGTAAGTACTTCCTGACAAGATTAAGTAATTGCAATGTTGATACAGACAACGCAGGGTACAAAAAACTATTCAAGTACATGCTGGAAAAAAAAAAAATTATGCTTATTTTTGAGGACAAAGTAAGAAAGTATTAAACTGGGGAAATATACTCAAACGAGTTGGACTTACTACCTATGGAAGTAAAAAAATGCTTTTCTGCTTAACAATAATTTATGGAAGGCGTATAAGGAATTGGGTACACAGTAGTTGCATACATTGAACAGTTTTTCAACTGTAGGTCTCTCATTGAGCTAAAGTACTGACCAAACTTATACTGAGCTAGCTATACCTAAATAACAAGAGAATAACCACCTCTGGATCAAAACAGCCCTTTGGAGGATCCAGATATTGCTTCTCTAATTGTGGTTTTCTGATTCTTACACACTATTATTTTTCTTCGTTCACTAAACCATGATAGAACCTATCACAATTAGTCAGAAGTAAAACAATCAGGTCTATAGTCTTAGCTGGTGTAAGTCAGCATATTGTCAGTATGTTCAGAAACACTACAGCACTTAATAGCAGAGGAGGATAAAGCCTTTGAAGTGCAAGCTTACCCTGAAAAGGTTTATGAGCACTGTTTGGGATACAGAAAAAAAGATCAGATGAAAATTATGTTGTTTAACTGCAGTACAACTTTATTTACATAACTTGGGAAATATTAAGAAATTACTTCAGTGATGAGTGCCACAAGTCCATCCTGAACTGCTTGCACGCAGCAGCTGTGGGTCCTTTGCCTCGCTGCACCTCCATAGCAGGTTCCCAGCCCACCACTGAGACCTGACTACTCTGCCCTTGCATGGCCTGAGGAAGAACAGCAGTTTTGTCTTTGCTGTACAAGACAATTTGCAATCTCAAACCAATTCTCCATCTTCTTTATAGGATACTTTCCTCTCAGACCATCTGATTTATCAGAGAACCTGTCCAGGAGTGAACTAACACCTGCATTGAAAATTTCCAGGTTGTATCGGGATAATTAGGGGTTTCTCCATCGACAAAAATTCATACATTCAAGACATATTAATAAGTAGGGACTGGTGGCTCCACACCATACTCTCTTCTGACATGTTTCATGACCATTTAAAGCCATCCTATATTTTGATTTAAACCTTAAAGCGCTGTCACACGTAGATCAACCTCTGACAGAAATCGCAAGCCACTTTCAGCCAGAGATACAGTCATCACCGGAGGTGGATGTTTCCCAGCTGTCACAGGCAGGTATCAGCAGTCTCAGAACATGCCTCTTCTGCCACACCAGCGCAGATTCAGCTCATCTCCACTAGCCACCCGCACACCTCAAGAAAGATGGCTGATTATTTGCATACAGTATCTGCAGGCTTAGCCTTACTACTCGGCATTTGTTCACTAACTCTCTAATAGAACTTCATCCTACTCTGTGCTCTACCAAAAATCCCGGATTGCAATCCCAGTTCTGGCATCGAACCTTGTCTTCAACTCAACTGTATTGCATCAGTTAAGGATTTTTTTCAAGTGCTTAGGAAAAAAAAAAAATGTATTTCCCTTATTTTATCTTTGTAAACTGTTTGTAGTCACAACTACAAACTAGTTGCTAGGCAAGTGAAAAATGCAAAACACAAGTCTCATAGGTGCTGCCAATAACTCCAGCATGAAATTAAAATAGTCACATATATAATACAAATATGCAAAGGGGCATTACGCCCCAGCCTTCTTGCCTAATTCCTCCAGTTCTCCAAGTCAACAGTAAATGGAGACACTTATCTCTGCCTTCATTTCATGATAAACTTCTAGCACACAGACAGGGGATGCACTCTGCTTCATTTACAGGCAGTATTCCTAATGAAGTCAACAGCCTCACATCTATCCCCACAACTAATAACAAGTATCAAGGCAATAGCTCCTCGGCTGCACTGCGCAAGTTAGGTGTAGCAACAATTAATGATACGCCTTTACCAGTTTCATCTGTACCTCACATCTGAGTTTTCATGAAAATAATCTCCCTCTGCAGACCCTTCCCAGAGTTAGATTTGCCTCTGTCCCACCTCCATATAAACTGTGTCAAAATATCATTACATGGGAGTATGCACCTGCATGAAACCATAACCGAGAAAGAATTCTTTATGAAAGAAAGCAACTATGAGGCGGTTGCTGTTGTTTCTCTAAAATTGCCCCTATATTAATTAATCTAAGGAATCAAATTGCTTCAGTTTTTTTTAGTTCTCTCTTCAAGCCGCCTTTAGGACAAGAGCACATCTTCTGAGGTAGGCACTTAATGGCTACTGCCACTACTTTTTGCTGGGATCATAGTCAGCGATTTGCTGAGCCGTGGTCAGTTCTCCACATCTCAGACAAGATCTAGACCACAACGCTGAACTATGTCTCTGTCTCTCCCCGCTATGATCTTTGCTCAGATAACACAGCTGTGTCTCTAATACAATTTCAGCAGCATATGCCTCAGCTTCCTTGATGGGAGAGTAGTGCCTCACACCCAAAGGGAGCTGTGGGCAGACCTCTTCTCAGCCTCCTGCATGGATTTATTGCACGAACGACTACCACTACTTGAAGGACGCATTCAGCCTACCATAAGCCTCTTCTAGGCAAAAGGAGCCTACAGTGCTTGCTCTGCTGTAAGCGTCTCTCCTGAAAGCCCCTTCTCAGACTAGCTGCAGGACAGGAGGACAATGGCAAAGCAACAAACTGGTCACAAATCTGGGTGGTCTTAATCCTCAACCTGCATAAGCCAATTCACCTCCGCTCTCATCAAAGCCGCTACACTAATTAAGGGCTAGCCTACAGTTGGTATTAATATGGAAACCGATGCATCAGAGAAGGCATCAGCAGCACTCCGAATTTGTACAGTCCCAGTGACCACATGACACATAAAATTAAATGTGTTTCTTTTTGCAAAATTGATCTTGGATCAAACCTTAGTCTGGCACAGGGATCGTCATCAGGAGCAAAGCATCAGCATCTGGAATTTGATTAAATCAACTGGTAACCAAAAACACATTCTCCATGTAACCAGTAATCCTCTGCAGCCACAGCAGCTTAAGCACATGCTTAAGTCTAACTCTTACTTATTAGTGTGACTGAGTAAGCCTTTTGATATCAATGTAATGCTGGCAAACTCATACAGCAGAAGTGGGGAAGAACAGCCCTTGAACTACCTTATTCATGGACCAACAAGACTAAAACCAATGCAAGATGGAAGCTCTCGTGCTTTTCCTTCTACCTTCACCTTTTAAAGATTCCGGTTACGTTTTTACAAGTAACAGATATCTGAAGTGCAACAATACGTAACCACTTAATGTATTGCATAAATAAACCAGAAAGGATTTATATAGGCTCCGAGACTGCACCGATGGTATTGCCAGGTACAACAGAGAGACCACCAGAGCACAGGATCAAGCCCAAGCTAAGCAGACAGCAGTCAAATCTTCAGTATTTCTGTAGTTTAAAACCTGGTTCTATCAAACAGCTCTCTCAACATCATATTTGATGTTCAAAATGAAGCTGTTCTAACTCAAAAGTGGGTTGACTTTTTGTAACATAAATCTTTTGTTAATGTTCATATAAATCAAGTATAGCTGAACAGATTCTTAAAGGATATGACCAAAAATTAATTTGCCACATTAGCTTCAGGTTAACAAATTCTTCTGCTTGGAGACAGTCATACATTACCTAACACATTTTAAGGTTCTTTGCAGCACACTGCTGTTCCTAAGTTTTGGAAAGAAACCTGTTGTGGCCTCACCATTTGCACACAGAAAAAGCTAAGATCAGTAATTCTGCTGGAAATATTAGCTAAGTCTTTAACATAGTGCTTTTCTTCAATAATTTTCCAAGTATCTGAAAGAAGTGAAACATGTTTTTAAGATCTTCAAAAGCAAAATGTTTACGT